GACGGACATCAACACTATTAGAAAATTAACCTGATTTAACATGGATAAACATCAGTAAAAAAAGTGGGTAGAAGAAAGCTTTACCTCTCTACACAATTCCTCTTAGTACCCTTTGCTGAGTGATGTAGATGGTAAAAAAGGTTCCTAGTGTCTGTGGATGTAATGAAAAAATATTACTGCCAGAAAAATGTTATGCATCTAAAGTTATATAAGTAAGCAGTTAGGACTGGTAGATATTCATCTACATTTCTATATATTCCTACAAAATAACATACTCTATGGTGGTGTCTATTTCAAACAATATGCAATGAGCATCACTTAAGTGGTATCAAATTATTTCTTGTCTTCTTCTGTTTTACCACTCTGTAAATTATTCAGTCAGAAGTGTACTGTATACTTCCTTTCTGCCTACTGGACACTTTTACTATTTTGCAATTAGCCCTGTGTGACTCTTCTTTGGTGTACCAGTTCTCTTTCCCTTTTAATTTGTACCCAAGAAACCCTGGTGTTTTTTTCCTCGTGTTAGAACAATCTCACAATCTGGTCTGGTTTGGCAGCCTGGCACAGAAGCTTTCCTTGGACACTCTCTCTCCCCTGTGCACACATTTGAAAGGATATATTGATCCATTCACTGGGAGGGTGAGAAATATGGAATGCTGGGAAGACAGATAATACATAAAACATTATTTACTTCTAAAATTTTGCAGATGTCCTGTATTTGCCAAATAATTTGTTGTTACAGGCCTAGAGACTGCCCTGGTGTAAGGCTAATTTGGGAGAAAACCTCCAAAGAGGTTCCTCTAGAAAGCAGATTCAAGCGGCCCTTCCCCCAACTGGTTCAGGAAAATATTTCCTTGGAGAAAAGTGGGAAAAACCTATTTATTTAACAGGCAAAGTATTCATAACACACACACACACACACAAAGAACAATATCAAACAACAAACCATCTTGCTGCTCCTCTTGAAGACATGACAAACTCAGCAGGTCCCATTTGTGGGCTGTAACTCGGCTCATGTTTTCAGTCCCTCTGGTGCTGGAATGCAGCGTCCCAGGCCCCGCTGGCCACAGCTGCAAGCTCCTGGTGGTTTTCTGGGTTTTCAGCCCAGAGCAGGTTTGAACAGTTTCAAGAAAAACAAAAACCATAACCCAGGGAAGTTCACTGCCTCAGCTAGCTAAAAACTAAATAAAAGCAAAGGACAGCTCTGTCTTGCTGTCTGTCTGTCCGCAGACAACACAGGAGAAGGATGTAGGAGAGCAAGTGCAGCTTCTGGCAACAAATTCTAGGCTTCTCCTCCCCTTTGCTCTTGGAAAAGGGTGCAAAACTTATTTCTGGGCTGAACAGATAGACAGGGATACAAGCATCATAAAAGTCACCCCAGGAAAAGATGTACATTTGTATTGTGCCTTTTTAGAAATTACCTAGGTAGGTAAATGAATTAGTAGCTCACTACATAAACTCTAAACTGAAGGCATGGTCCCAAGCAAGGGTCCTATGTTTCTTGAAGCCTCTAAACTAAATATATTTGCTAAAAGATTAGAAGTGAACAGGCATTCCTGTTGGAAATTCAAGCCATGTACATTTTCAGAGAATCCAACCAATTCTCTGTAGTATAATCCAGTGATTTCTGTTCCTTTTTTCTGACCACTTTGCCAGCTTAATGGAGACAGCTCTGGTCTGGGCTACAGAATAAATGAAAGAGCCTTCAAACTCCCCTGAGAACCTCTATTCCACCTCTGGCCTGCTTCCAGTACAGCAGTAATTGTACCATTACAGCAGCATTATCTATAGAAAATTAACATGAGTTCTTAAGTTGTTCAACAATAGCAAAGCATAATTATTTACACTGTAGTCACAGAATTTCTGAGAGGAAAAAAACGTTAGGCTTTTAGGGAAGGAAAATTGTAGCAATTACTGGCCTAGTAGTTATTTTTAAAGTAATGTTGATGTATTTGAAAGGAAGAAATTTTTTGGAACTTCTTTAACCTACAACACAAGCTCTAATGCTGGAATCAGTCTGCACACACTCACTTCAGGAAGCAGAGGGAGCTGTCTGATGGCAATTACAGTTCTTACTGCCAGGGAGCCAGGTCACAATTAGCAATCTGGGACTTCACATCACAGCTTGCAAAAAAGACAGGCCTCATATTCTTGGGAAGACAAAAGAAGACACATCACATTATACTGTAAGATAAAGCTGATATTTAGTTTATACCTACAGAATAATTATGTATGCTATGACTGAGTAAAAACTAACAACTACTCACTGATATGGGGTATTTACAGTACAGAAACTAAACTTGATTCTTTTGTAGTGGGAAAATCCCCCATAACTCTTCTTGAAAAATTGTAGACTAATAGAAGAGTCATGATGTTCAAAACAGTATGAAGAAATATAGTACCCCTGAAACATAACTGAGTCAGGTACAACTAATAGACTTTCAAAGTGCAACACAGTGCACACAGTGAATTATTGTAGCAGCACATCTACTGGCAAATTAAAACCATGAGTTATTAAGAGTCCTGGTATAACGAATTTGTAAAAGCCTTTTTTTTCCCCACAAATAGGAATTCCTGCAGTAATCAAAACAACTGTGGTTCTTTAGTTCAGCACTGTTAAACCCAGAATATGGAGATCTCATCCTGCTGCCCAGTGAAGCTGTACTCCTTGAGATAACCAAGAGCTGTGCTAGTGTCTTTAGTGATGGCCAGTGCTGTGAGTGTGGCAGGAGAGTGAATCACCTGAAAGAGAGGGTCAATAAGGGCCTTGTCTTCAGAGGGTGCTCACAGTCAGAAAATGCAACAAGGAACAACAAAAAGCCTCAAACTAATGGAAATGAAGAATTTATCTAGTGGTAAGACTGGATGTATAGGGCAACCTTCCCAAAAGTAAAGGAAGAAGCTTACTTGAGATTAATGGCCTTTTTTGCTGAGGCCCATGGGAAGTCCTAATAAGGCAATGTGTTAAACAGTGAATGTAATTTATAATACATGAAAACTTAAGAAAATATAAATAGCATAGGGCACTGAATGAGAAGTGTCTTATGCCCTTCTTACATTGCTTTTTAGAGACACTTTCACCTGTTGGATTTAAAGTAGCATTCATGTTTCTATGTTTTGGAAAGCCAACATGCTTGTTTTTATGCACCAGCGTAATTGAAACTTAATGATGTCACAGCAAGTAGACACTTCAAACCATCTTACACTGGGATCACAAATGATAGACTTCTATAATCTAAGCTAAAGTAATTGTACTTACATGTGTTGATTTCGCTTGTAGTGACATTTTTTCTAGGTTTTCTTGAATGTTAAACTTAGTTTTTCTCCATTTCCTATCATCTGCATTGATCTTACATATTTGTGCTCACACAGTCACAACACCTTTCCACAAAAAACAAGGCCATAAATTTTTATACAGTAATTCCTGCATCAAACCAACCATTCGTAGATGAACCAGACTGGTATCCTGTTAAAAGGTATGTAATTTGAGAATTTCATATGATACAGGTTTAATCTTTTATATAAATATCCAACAAACACATGATTTTAAAGGTAGGGGAAAATAATTTACTGTTTCCTTCACTATATACTTGTTCAATATTATAATTCAACTGTCCAGAAAAATCCTACACAAAACAGTCATCATTGTGCAAAACTTAATTTTTTCTGATACACACTGAGTATGTAAGGCATGTACATGTTCTTCTCATTTATACCAATAAATACACTCACAAATATAAATCTCAAGTATACTTATCCAGTCTGAAATAATTACATTCAGATGCTGAATGTACTTATATATAGCAGAAATAACTCAAGGCCTGTAATATTTTATTTTCAGCTTTTTCTGACATCATCATTACTAAACAATGTTCCATTTTCCTTAGTAGATAAATCTATTAACGCAGACAACCAGAACGTTTCTGTCTTTACCAGGTCTACTTAAAATCATCTTCTTGCACCTTACCTTTTCTTCTAACCAAAATTTTAATTTTGCTTTGTCCAAAAGTGTCATTCTTTCAAATGCTTTAATGAAACACAAATCCTTCTGTGTTTTTCAGCCATCCTTCTTTTCATCCTTTGCTTTCAGACAGCACTTGCATCTTCTCATCTCCCCCTCACTTAGCTGCTGTTCTTGAGTGAACAATACTCCCAATTCATGTACATCACCCTCAGCATAACTGTCATAACTTGCAAATTATAAAACATTACAGAAGAAATCCAGGCAGGTATAATTCTGTTGACCACAAAGTGCTGTGCTAACTACACACAGTCTTGTTGTGGTCCTAACATTTTACTGAAGTCTGTGCATAAGCTAAACATATCTTAATACTCACACCATACAATCATCTTCCATAATTTTTAGTGCTTTACATGGTGGCATTTGTATGCTACACTAATTGACTTAATAAGTTTTTTTGCATGTATTTTTCTCATTATTAATTTGCTTCATAAAATATTTAACTTGGAAATAAATCTGTTGTTAAGAAAATTCATCCTACTTTAAGGATGTTCATCCCACCCTAAAGCAATCAAAATAAAATTTCCTATATACTGTTAAAATCAATGACAGTTCTATAGATAATGCATAGAGTAGCAATTAATCAGAATTTGTCTATACCATGAAAAAAAGAATTCTATACTTTAATTAATTCAAAACGTATTATTATTTTTCAATCTACCTCGTGTAAAACCCTAAAATTATTTTATCTCCTACAAGAGAATAGTGAGTTATCCCAAAGTATGGCCTAGAATCCAAGATTTTAAAACATATTTTTCATATTACACACAGTACTGGTGTCTCAAAAATCCTGTCCAAACTGACCAAGGTTCTGTGCTTGTGGTTTTTCCTCAGTCTCTGTTGGTACCAGCTCACATTTAATCACAATTAAAATTAAATAGTTGCCTTAATATTTGCCTTACTATTTTTAAGGTGAGGGATAATGTTTCATGGCTTTTGTCTCATATTCTTTGAGAAACAAAAGATCTCACAAAAATTATCTGAGAAAAATTAGCAATTTTTAAGATAAACTTTTATTGAAAAATTAAAACTGCATTGCATAACTTCTTTATAACTTCAACATTTCTTAAACCACAAAAGAGAGATTCTGTTTAAAAAATCTCTTCATGTTTTCACCATTCAAAAAACAGATTATGAGCTAACTCCATGATGATTTTAAAATTCTGGATTATTCCCAAGGCCCCTGCTTCTGGCTGTCTGCCATGAATGGGATAATCTATCTTCTCTAAAAATTACCTTTAATGACACAATCACAATTTTTCTCATTCAAAATGACCAGCTGCTCTTAATTTTTACCCACTGGTCAGTCTTTTCCAAATAAATTATATCAGTTCATAAGCACTGCAGCTACCTGTTCAGCTAAGATCTTGCCTATTGTTTAATTGATCTGAATTCACTCATGCAAAGTTACAGTGGTTTTCCCTGTGATTTTAAAGGCAAAATTGCTACCTCAGAGTGTATTTTAAACCTCAGAAAAACAAACTTGCTCACCTGGAATTAAAATGGTATACATTAGTCAATACTCCTGTATATCCATACATCCTAATCTCTCACAGTCAATAGTATATGGATTTAAAGAAGGAAAGTTCCAGGTTAGCATTAGTCTGAGAAGCTGTGGCATATTACTCAGATGGAAACGACCTAATAAGAAAAAAGATTAATTTTCTCACTAATGACTATAGCTGCTCTGTTAAAATCAGTTAATCAAGTCAGAAATTAATACGAGCACGGTGCCTGCTGAACACAGGATAATGTATATGTAATAGGAAAACACCCCAGAATCTGGTATTAGTATCAAAATCTTGGCAAAAATCTAATTGTGGTCATCTGTGTCAAGACACAATACTGCAGAAAATCAAGATAAATGCAGAGGGTATCTTTAGAGACAACACCTATGCATTGACTGTCTTGCTTCCAAAACAAGCAGGAGGAGCTCCATTATTCCCACTTAGCTGCAAACCATCAAAGGCAATAGGAAGAACTTTTGATACTTTGACCTTCAAAAAACAAGATACTCCATTAAAGGAAGAAGCAGAAATTGTAGTGAGCAAAATATTATATATGCTTTGAGGAGTTTTAGATCTGTCTCTGACTACGTCGCAGAACAGGAGCTTGCTGTATGAATGCCAGTCAGCTGCATTATGGTCCTGCCTACAGCTTCATGATCAGGATGAAGATGGTTCTCTTCACCTCATTATATGCTTCAAGGAGAATTAACATCTCAGATACATTAAACTATTATTAGAGTATTAAAATGGTGATCTGGATACAGATCATGAGGTTAAAATATTAAGTTTAGAGGACTGAGGGGAAGTTAGAGCTTTAGTAATACAGTTATTGACAAGGGAGGTGGAGGAAATCACCTAGGAACTGGTGCAAATCATAAGACCCATGGTGTTTGTGTGGAAGACATAAAATCCTCTAGTGAAGCTAAGTCACCAGTTATACATCCTCGGATTAATTATATTAGTTCATATTGTTTCTCATAAACAAGAAGGACTGAAAGAATTTTTTCAATCTTCTGTAGCTCCCCTTTGAATAAAGTAAAACTGAAACCAGATTTCAGACAGAAGTCTAAAATAAAAATGTGACGTGATTCTTCAAAACAAACTTCTTTGTGTACTCTAAGAACTGCTCTCAACGAGAGGTCTTCTAGTTTTGATGAATAGCTGGTATCTATAAAGAATGGTATTCAATATTATGGAAGTTAGAACTTAAGTCAATGTTTATGCCAACTACATCTGTACTGCAGGCCTCAGCATGGATGTTTACATCAGGAAATGTCAAGTATTGAACACACAGTAATACAGTAGGCTTATGATTGAGTAAGATTGAGGTTTAAGATCAAGAAGGCAAGAAACCAACTACACTGTCTTGAAAAAAAATCTAATTAAAGAAATACTCTATTGATAAGATTACTAGGGGGTTTAATGATATGAAGTAACAATACAGATCTATTTAGAAAGTCATACTCAGAAATCTAAAGGTCAGCGACAAATTTACTATAATTTTTAGGTTCAACTCCATTTGAAGATTTTACAGAAGGTTATGAAAGAGGAATAAGCAAGAGTCCTAGGAAAAGCTGGAAAGGATGTGCTGTAGGATACAGCATTTACCATAAAAGCTGCTTCCTTCTCTCTGTGCTAACACAGCCACAAATATGAGACACTATCCTCAAAAGACAGCCAGTGGGACCTGCAGGATGGAAATCTCTCTTGTCTCTAGGTGTCCTTCCACAGGACTGACAGGGGCCAGAGAGGCTGCAAAAACTGCGTGGCATGACTGTATTTCACTGAAAGTTTCTAAAATAATTCAGTTTTATTATGGAAGTGGAGGGGGAAAAAGCAATTAATGACTGCTTTGCAAAGAATCACATATGAAAACACTTGAAATTAGCATATTCCATTTATCACCATGACACTAACTCAGTGAACAGAGGATTATTGAATCTCCATTTTGTTCCACTATTCTGTTTCCAGTATGGACTTTTCCATTCAGTAATACTGATTATCTAATGATTAAGATTGATCAAGCTGCAGATGAATCTGGTGTCTATACTTTGAAAAGACTAACCAGTTGAAATTATTGGGACAAGCTAGCTGTATTAAAAGATACTAAGTTTACTTTTGGTTTTATTTATTTTATAAACTCCAAATAGATAGTGAATTCCATTTCACTAAAAGAATGATGCTGGTTAAAACTCCCACAGAATTTAGTTAAAATGGCCAGAGGCCAGTTCTGAAATAAAACTCAAAAACAGGGGCCTTGGTTAGCAATCAATACTCACTACAAAAGCATTCAGAACACTGAACAGTCTGACATTACAATAAATAAAACTGAAATTTCTAATAATTCTAATAGATTAAAGGGATCCCATAATTTGATAGTCTATACACAGTGTCAGAATTCCTTATCTTCAGGAAAATTATCTGTAAGTTATTACTTTAAGGGCACTAGGATTTAAACAAAAGTGCCAACTAATATTTTTGTATTTTTTCTTTGGCTCACAAAGACACTAAAATACCATAAACATTATTTAGAGCTTCAATAATATATAAATAGGTTACATTACAAACAGAAGAAAATACAAGACAACTCTTCAGCATGGTAAATCTCTGCATATAAATAAGCAAATATTTCAGATACCTACAATTAAACAGTTATCTTGCTGTAAAACTATTACATTTAAATCCTTTTACACAAAGAAATTTAACAATAATATACACAATCTACACAAATTAACCTCTAAAAATACAGCAATATACCTGTTACAATGACTCTGCTACTGTCATCCCCTGATTTGACACTAAAGGGCTAATACAACTATTTTACTCAAAGGTGCTCTTAGAGATTGCTGTTTTGTATGTGAGAAAAGCACCAACAATAAGATAGAATACTGTTATACATTTTCTTTAGCTCCTAAGAATCTACATTTTAGAAATGTTTCTATATGTCTATTTCTGTCTGGCAGAAAAACTTGTAGCACATTATCCACATCAAAGTTGTTGAAGGAAAACTTAATTTTCTTAAAGTGGAAAACATGCTGTGGCTTTGATCTAAGTTTATAACCACTTTATATATATATATATATATGTATGTATGTATATATATAATTATATATATTTATTTATACTGTACATATATACTGTGCAGAGTTCTTAATTTGCTATTTTAATACCTATTAATTTTCTGCTGTCTACAATAAACAAGACCAATGTAAGAGTCAATAGTACTTCAACTTCAAGATAATACATTTTCCCTCAATAATATGATTTACCAATACATATATATTTCAGTAGTCTATAGTTGTTTTGTTTAAGGATGTCTTAGGAGATTGGAACTTACAGAGAGAGAATTTCCTTTAAACATGTTCTGCAGAACTGGGTTTAAAAAATAGCCAGTGCTGGAAAATAATTAATTCAATAAATAAATAATTCAACCACTACAGCTCCTGCCCCAGTCTCTCGATTTCCTCAATGAGGAAGTCAATGTCAGACTTAGTTGCTGCTGGGTTTGAGATGACCATTCGGAAGAAGTTGACTTTATCGCCCTGAGGCTGATATCCAACCATGGTGGTACCTGACTCCATCATCAATGCCTTGATTTTCGGTGCCACCTTTAGCATAAAAAAAAAAAAAGAGAGAGATAAAAAAAAAAAAAAAAAAAAGGCAAATGCCAGTAGAACAACCCTGCTATAAAAAAGGAACCCACTACAAAAAAAAAAAAAGAGAGAGAGACAAAGAGAGAAGAAAAAATTATTCTTTCCTTGTATATCACGGCATTTCTTAACACAGAAAAAGTAAATTGACAGACATTTGTTTTAATAAAAAATGTATGTAACAAGAAAAAGCTTGAAAAACTAAATATGTAAGATTGGCTATTTAAATGAAAATTGACAACAATAATTTCTATCTTTTTGATTTTCAAATTAATAGTATCTCAGAGTATTCACTATATAATAATTTTATATATTAAATGTAGATCTCATTTCTTTGTGCTGAAGATTTTGTCACAATGAAACATTTTGTGCTTCTGTAAAAATGTCCACTCCAGACTTTCTTGAGGGTAGTGGATGTTTTCCATGAGAATATGATGTATTCTTGAAGCATTTTATATGTGAAGACAACAGTGGACATTTTTCAACAAGATCTATGTCATAAAGAATATTTTTTGTTAGCATAAGCCAGGGAAACCTTCCAGTAGTTTTGCACTACTGTGCATTTACCACAATCTCACTTCTTTGGTTTAATTTACAAGAAATAATGTTCTGACAGTCTTAGTATTTGGTATTGACTAAACCCAGTTTTTCCATCCTGACCTTCATTCTCCTGCTCTACTCTTTGCCAGGCAAGGTCAGATGTCTGGCTCTTTTAATTTTGTAGAATGCTTTATGATGTCCTCTAACATTTTGCAGGGTTAAATAAAATATTTCATCCCTCTTGCTGTTTCTTACTTCTTACCCCTATCTTCCTCTATTCTCTCTTTTTTTAGCCATTTCTTCCTCTAACATGGGACTGGCTTGACCCAGGAATTTTACCCAGGAATTTCTATTCTCTTCTATTCTCTTTTCCCATTGTGCTACAGTCATTAAATCCTCTACAAAATCTCCCAAGTTTGCTCTTCCTTCTCCCTTCCTTAACACACACACTCAGACACAAAAGAACAATTATTTTTGACACTGTGATATCATTCTTTTGTCTCCTGAATGTATTTCTTTCCACTTCTGTCTAAAACACTACTACAAAATTACTGTACTTTGCTTCCATCAAGTCCTGAGTAACATTATAACTTTTCTGGTGGTGCTTCTATGATGCCTTCACTTTCCTCTACCACTTCAAATAACTGTAACCCAAAGTCCTCCAAAGGGTATTGATTTTCATTGAAATGTATTAATGCATTGGGCATTTAAAATCAAAACAAATACCTGAGAAGGAACGTACAGGTTTTCATGTCCTTTACCTCTCCAAGCATTTTCAAACAATTACCCTTCTGTTTCTCTTGTGGATAAGCTGTCCTATTCAAAGGAGACTCTGATGTCTGTAGGCCTAGCTACATTTTAAAGGCTTGTAGCACTTGTGATCACAGAATAGCTGAATATGTTCTGAATCTGGTTCTATAGGGAAAACATGACTTGAGCATCAATATAAATAGGAGACAAAAGTGAACAAATATCAAGGTCATAACAAGCAATGGAGAACTGACGTCTCAGAATTTGGAATTATCTTTTTACATTTAAGCAGAAACACTTACCCTGTGTAACTTTTCTCTTCTCTCATCAGAGTCTGGCATGCCCCTGAGACTTGGAGGAATGTACCAAAAACATACATTTGTATGCTCTGGCTGCAAAAAAGAACCAAACATATGCCTCCATTAAAAAAAATTATACAGATCAGTCCCACACTAAAGGCTAGTGAGTAGCATATTTTATCACAGACATGAAAGACAAAATATAATATTAACTTTCCTAGTCCTGCATGTTAAACAGACACAAATTGATTACAGTACTGCTGCTTGCCTCTGCTGCCTTAGGTTCCCATTGTCCCATTTGCAATATTTAGGTTGCTAATGAAGTGCAAATGATTTTCACCCTTGTGCAGTTCTATGAGTAACTGTTTTTCAGGATCACAGCAAGGGCAACCCAATTTTCCTTTCCTTAGCAAAGGGGGAAATGAAGTTTATACTATGATCCAAAGGTTTATGTACTGGCACTAGCAAAAGAATATACAGTAAAAATAGCAGATTCTCAGTTATGTATGGAATAATCTCAGTATGAGTAGGTTGTATTAAGGAAATCTTCATGCCCTAAACTGAGAAGGCCTCTGCAGAAGAGGAGATAAACCTGACATTTATGATACAAAACCACATGTATTTGACAAAAAAAAAACAAAAAACAAAAAACAAAAACCTACTCAGATGCCAATAGACAAATAGTTCTTTAGACAATCAGAAGAGTTTCACATAGCTGTCCTGAAGAACTGTAAGAATCATGAAGATAGATTTGGCTCATACATATGTGAAAGAAAACTTACCTCCCCTTCAAAAACCATCTCAAATTCTTCTCTGTTTTTGATTTTAGTGTAGAGATATTCTGCCAGCTCCAGGCATTTATTGATCTGATTTTCAAATCCTACTGTACCCTATTTTGATAAGAAAATAGGTATTAATTCTATGGACAATTTTTTTTCTGCTCTGGTGCAATCACCTTTTCAGATAGATTTCACTTTTAAATATTTTCAGGCAGAAAACATTTAGCAGAATTATTTCTTGTAACTTAAAAGTAGCATTAATCAACAATAAAAAAGTGGCTAAAGGTGTCCCAATTGTAAGTCACTATTTGGTTTGTCTCATTTTAAGAGAATTTATTATGAAAATAACAAGGACTTTCACCATTTTTAGTAGATTATTTTAGGTCTTTTGCATTTTTTGGGTTTCCAAAAATATTATGGACATCATGTCCTGGCTTCACAGCTGCTCCTGAAAGACCAGAAACTTGGAATTGGAACTCAGTTGAAAATGTAAGAATTGGGAAGTAAAATAATTCCTCTGAACAGTTTGCTAGAACTGTGCATTTAATCAGCAAGCAAAAGTCTGCAATATGTTTACTAGAAGTCACTTGCCTACCCACCGATATCTTGTCAAGGTCATAATCCCAGAAAAAAATACATGAATATTGATAATGAATAGTTGGGGTTTCTTTTAAGTACACTTTGTACATGAATGAAGAAGCAAGCATTTTCTCCCAAAGTGAAAATTGGTTTATGATTTTAGAGTTTATAATTAGATTGAATATCAATTTTATTATAAAAATTAGACTCTGAACAAGTTGCCCAACTGAATTCCCATTTTGCCAGCAGAAGATGAAGAATAACAGTAATGAGATGACTGCAGATAAAGCAATAAAAATGGAATGTGTTTTCTTGACTACATGAACCCTCATCTTGTGAACATGTAAGCCTGGACAAAAGCTGTGCTTACATTCAGCCATCCAGGCATACCACAGTAGTACCATGTAATCAACTGTGGAATCATCACTTGGGCAATGCTTCCTCGGGAAAAGGCTTTGTTTTAGGTTAAAAAGGTGCTTATAAAATCTTTGCATTGTAATGTCATGTTCAAAGGACCCTTGTAAGTTATCAAGGCTGCTTTGCTGTTACAAGTAATCTGCCATAAAATACATATGCAAGTGTAGAGCATCACAACAAGAGATCATTTTGGTGCCCTGCACTCAATGGTTTTTCTGCAGGACTCATCTAGTGACTTAAATCTTTCTTCTAATTGCCATCTGAATTTACGGACAGCTAGCATTGTTCTACAATTCACATAGCTCCTTTCTGAGTTAATACTTGGATGTTTGTGTGTTTAGAGATTGTAATGACACAAACATTTATGTTAAAATGAAGTATTCCCTTACATGACACTTAGAAATTAAATAAATACATTTCTGGTTTTTGAGCTAAACTTTTGTTATTTACCTTTGCTTTCCACATCAACCAGAATTTGAAAATGTCTACATGTCGACCACACTGTATTGCCTTATCTCCAGTGTCATAGGAGACATCATACTGTTTGTCTGGCTGGAAGAGATAGCCTGCACACATTTGATTGCAGCCTTGAAGGATACCCTACAACAAAAAAAATGTCCACTTATATGACTTACCTGGTATTTTATACATTAATAATGTATAAAAATGTATTTCAAAAATGTACAGGAGAATTGTTCTTTGATAGGACATATTATAACATACTGACCTTGTTTTGTAAACCTGAGCCACAAAATTAATTTCATAACCTAAGGTGGTTCTCTTAGAAGTCTCTGAATAGCCATATGGTTTTACACAAACACCCCCCTGAGAAAACATGCACAGATTAATTTGGATACTTAATTTGTCATATTAACTTTACCCACTTCAATTTATAAGGCTATGTTCTTTAAACTTACGTTTATGATTTGTTAAATTACACACTAGAATAAAGCTGTGGTCTCTCAGTGCAACAGATCGCTACACAAAATGAAGTGAAAAAACTTAATTGAAGGTTTCAACTTTGTACATTGTTCAGCTTTATGACACTTAACATTAGTGATAAGTAAAAGTACAAATGACAAAAACCAGACATATTTTGCATGTTACTAGTAGAAATCTAGGGACTACTGGCAAAATGCCTGGCAGAAACACTGAGCAGCAAATTCCTGTGTGTTACACAGAATTCTTACACATGACGTTTCTAAAATGCTGTGCATTTCCTTTAGAATTTATAACTGTTTTTTGCAAGAAACTTGATGACATCAGTGTGTCTCAAATACAAAAACATCTATCAAAGTTCTCATATAGAGAACAAAAACTCTTGCCAAAATCATGCAATAGCTGGCACAAAAAGTATGCATGCCACTAAACAAAGGCTTGTGCTTCCCCTCAGTAGATGTGTTTCCAAAGGGAAATAAATGCTGCAGTCCTCAGTTTAGAGCTGGATTGGGTGGGAGAACAATGGCAGACCTAGGGCTGCAACTTCCAACACTTCCATCCCAATTCTACACGCTGGGATTACTTCTTCAACTAAGTGCTTCTAGTAGCAATTGTCATACAAGAGGTTAGTGGACAACATCATTAGTCCTATCCACATATGATAACACGTATGATCTAATTTTCTTTTTATATAATTTAATAAAAATATGTTTTGCTTAAAAGAAACAAGACACAAGGTTTTCCTTTCATTGATGACAACTAAGAATCTAGATGCCAGCCCTAACAGTAGAGTCATAAGACCAGCATGTTTTCAACAGAACTGGGAAACTTTTAAACTACTATGTAAGGTAAAAACTTGCTGTTTTCTTATGCAGTTTAGTCTGTGACCAAGTAGTAAAACTGAGGTTCTATATTCAATGTATCATAGAAACAACAGGGCAGGTGCTCATATGAAGCACAGTAGCGTGGCTCTATTGCTGCTATCAGAATATGCAAAGATCCAATAAGTGAGGATCTGACCCATGTTGTCTACAACTTTGATTAAAAAAAGCCAATACCCCCAGGACAAATAAAACAACTTCCAAAACACAATGTAAATCCATACAATTATTCTTTCCAAAAGAAGTTTTGAAATTAAACAGATTTTGCAGTACACTTTTAAAAAATAGGGCTTGATATTTACTTTTTTTTTTAAAATGTTTAATTATTAAATGTAAGGCAGACCTTCTCCCGGACAAGAATGGCAGAACATTGTAACAACACTCCCATCATCTTGTGTGGATTCCAAGTGACTGAGTTGGCTCTGCAAAAAAATTATACATTCAGTTAGGTCTGGAAAACAGAAACTTAATCTGAAGGAGTCACCTTTGTTTTCTGTTTTCAGCTGGAAAGATATGGAGTTTTGACCTGATGATAATACTATGGGTCTTAAGTGTCTTATGCTGCCTTAAGTGTCTTCTTTCCCAGCTATGCTGTCCAGGAAAGGAACTTTTTTCATGTTAACATTGCAATGTCAGACTTGTGATTATTTTATATTATTACTAATACCAGCTAATTAATATCAGACTGATTAGCTGGTATGGTAACATCATCCCCAGAAGAGTTCTCTTCTAGAAATAGCACTGAGAAAAATAACAAAACCCCTTGATGTGTTCCATCAATTCAAGGTACTGATGGGGAAAGTGGAGGTGTCAGACAAGTAAGGGACTAATATGAATTGTAGGAGAATACAGTTCTTTCCTGAACAGTTGCTGGAAAAATAGAAAGGAAATAAAAAGGTGTTCTGCATGCTTACCTGCTTTCCCAGTTAGAGCCACAGCCCTTGCTTGTCAAGCCCATGGACTGTTAAAAGGCTCTAAAACTTTACATCTTATCCTACCATTCTCTGTGTAAAGCTTAAAATTTTTTACATGCAAAAACAAGTCAATGTACAAGATCACCTAATTTACAAGTCAAACAGATGTTCTGTATTTTAACATACTATCCTAGACAGTTTAATGGTGACACTGAAATAAATGTGCCAACGTTGCACATCCATTGACCTTTTCACCCCAAGTAATTAATTACCAAGCATCCCCTTGATTCACTGCATGTTCCAGAGAAGCAAAGTACATAATTGTATTTCACAGACTATGCATGTGTTTTTACAATGCGGTTGAAAGAAAATTAAAAGGTATTTCCTCCTCTTCCATACCCTGCTCTCAGAGGACACAGACACAACCACAGTTTCTCCCTCACTGTTTTGAGCAACACAGTGATGTCTTCTCCCCAGACTGAGGACCACTGATTTCTAGATACAATTCCAAGCCCTGTATGTGCTAGGTTAGACTGTAGAACAGCACAGCTTGTGCTGTACCTGGTGATCTCACCATCTAACACTGGCTGCTTATGCAGTGCAAACCAGCAGATAAATTGCTCAGACCTAGGAGGCAATTATCTTTTGAAAAACTTCACTAATAGTTCAGATGAAGCAATCAGGAAAAAGGAATTTATATAACAACTTATTTCCTTTTGAAAACACCATGCCTTCAGTTTAGCACATTCATTTAGCACATTCAAACTTTCAGAGTTTGAAACAAAGACAATTTTAAGTAATTCCTTACAAGGAGCATTATGTTTATTTTAACATGAAGCTGTCACTCTCAGTGCAGCCCCCAGCCAGGGGCTGTCCTACCACAGGCAATCCCAGCTCTGTGCCATGGCAGTGTGCCAGTCCTCCATGCCAGTGTGCCCGAGCAGGCCAAGTACAACCTGTGTTAGCAACAGGCCCCAGCTGGGGCCCACGACAGGCAATTACCCCTTACACGTGGGCCCCATCCCATGTTTGAAATCTGTATAGCTGTCTGGGAAAGAAATAATTTCACGCTTTATAGCCTGCTGTTTTTCTGTATTTGCTTAAAATTATGGCCTTAATTAGCACCTCAGGGTTGACCTCAAGTCAAAAGGGGTGTGCCAAACTCCTGTGACCAAACCTCTGTATCTTAAGAAATTTATTTTGCAGTGCTGACTTAATATTAGATATATTGCCTTGAGTCACAAGTAAATTGGACTGGGCAAAGGCTGATAGGATTCTGCTGCCTCACAGTACCCCACATCACACACTGCTGTCCTTGCGACAGAACAGGCCACACTGTTTTGCTGCCAGTCCTTCCATAGACTATCCTTGATGCAGTACTTATTCTTTACTTACTGTGAAGATGCCCAAACCTAGGATAGTTTGTTTTCCCTAAGGAAGAGCAGTGCTCACTGTACTCATTTTACAATTTTACATGGTGCCCATATTCAGAACAGCTGACTCAAGGAAGCAGTTTCATGCTAATTTAAAAGTACATGGATAGATCTTGCTTCAAATTTTTTTTTGCTTCCCTGAAAGCTGATACCTCCAATGATGGAAAAGATCTAAAGTTTCTGATTCTTCATTGCTTTTCTGATTTTTTTTCAGATGTGCACCATTTTATGGTAGAGCACTTTCAGAGGAAATCTAGAGATCAACACACCCATGGCATTATACATATAGCATCTTCTACAGACTTGGCATCATTGGATATGGGTACAACTGTGCCAAAGACTAAGCCTGGAGTGACTCCTGAGTCAAGATTTTAAGAACCACTGGGAAGGTCACATACTCACTCTGCTGTCATTGCCAACACAAATGCTTTGCCTCTTTAAATTTGTTTCAGCCAAAGGCTGGCTTCTGGTCTCACTTGGCATCTTGGTAAGCTGGTTTTGTACCTGGGGGTACACACATGCTCTTTTCTGCAGACTTCACTCTGACCTCAACAAGAGCTTCCTGCTTGTTTCATGTAATCCCCCACATGGAACCAACACACAGGCCCCTGTGCCCTGAGACAAGTGCCATCTAGGACCCTTTTTGGCCTCTCTGTAAATTACCTCAGTCTTCTCCCTGGTACAGCAGAAGTGTAGCAGCTCTCTCTATCATAGCCCTTTCAAGCCTTAAAGGTACAGAAACTTGCCCCTGAAAATTGCTGCTAGTTCAGTCTATAACTCCTCTCATTGTTGTATACAACTATCTATTTGTGTGTGTATGTATAAATAAAACTGATATAAGACTAAATCTATGTATCTGTTCCATTTAAGAACACTCATGAACACTCATGAATACTCTTTATTTTGCAGAAAACCTGCAAATATCTTACAGGAGAGAACCTCTACAAATTCCCACTGTGGGTATTCATGCTCAAACACCTTCCCTGGATCCCTCATTTATCACTGGTATTCTCAAAGCCCTACATTTCAGAGATTGTCTAGCTCTCACACTTCATTTCTTTCTTCAAATACTTCTCCATCCATTCCCAGACTTATGATCCCTTCAAAGCTATGCATAGAAAAATCTGCCTTCTTTTTTGCCAAGTAATATCCTTGTCTCCTTTCAAATCTACTGAAAACTTACCTCTCACTCAATGGTACATCACAGATCTCTTCTGTAGTATTGTTTCCATCTCCCCAGTCTGAACCTTTCCCTTTTGTCTCACTATTGTTTAATTTAGTGTTTAAACTCCTTAATATAGCAAAGTAATATTTTTATGAATTGTTGAAATGTCATGTACCTTATGAAAGTACTTTAAGAACAGTATTACAAAGAAGCACTGTGTAGTACCTTTCTATTCCATTCAATTTATGACGGTGCTTTCGGGACATTAAAAGTCCACCCCCCCAGGCAGCCTGGAAAATACAGAAAAAAAGAGAAAACTCTTTTTTTTTTGAAAAAGCTCAACAGATTTTAGTTTACTCAGGGTCTAGTAATAAATATTTTAATTCAAGAAAAAACAGTGTAAACTAAGACCCTCTTTTGCCCGACTAGCAGCACTTTTTTGTTACTTACATCTACATGGAGCCAGAGGTTGTATTTTTCACATATATCTGCAATCTCCTGTATTGGATCAAAGGCTCCATATACTGTTGTGCCTGCAGTTGCATTTACAAAAAGAGGAACGTATCCCTACAATTAAAAAAAATAAAAGTCAAATATAAATTGAAAACACTTTCAGAAAAAAAAAAGGGAAAATAATTCCAGAAACGTAGTCTCGTTTTGTAACGTAAAAATGGTTTTCTTCCCATTGGAAAGCCCAACATAAGCAACAGTAGAAACTACCTAATCAAATACATGGCAAAAGCAAAATGGTTTTTTAATTTATTTTCTTGTAACTTCACAAAATTAACTAGTTAGAGGATAAATAATATTATTTTGTCTAATCTCTTTCAGTGAGGATATTCAAACAATGTAGTAGAAGATGAACAATATTCAAGTAAATTTGGGAATTTTACAGCAGTATAAACAAAAACTAATTAAATACTATTTGTGAGTCATGATTTGAAGGCTTGAAATTGTTCCTTTAGACTTTATGTACTAATAAACAAAACAAAATAGAATGAGGTGATCTGAAACAAAAGCAATAAATGAGAAACTATCAGATCAAAGAGAGAGAATTTTGAGTCAGATAAAATAAATGTGAACTGCAATTTCATTGAGTTCCCAAATGTTAAGAAATAATTTTTAAAAAATGTTGATTTCTCTTTGATTATTTTATTAAAAATTCATGGGTTTTTCCATTGCATTGATTCAAGAAATAGCAGATAATGCCTACAGTTTAAGCTTACTCTTTATATTTAACAAATATACATGCTACCTATGTAAAATATATAGGATTTTTTAAGAGCTCTGCAGAATCTTTAATGGGTTTGACTAAATTTAAAAGTTTAGATAAAAGTAGCTTAGATTTTGTGTTGCCATACTTGTTTCCATATATTTTCAAACAGGAAGTTATTTTTAAAAATCATGAACTCCAGTTGTGGTTCAAGAGTTAAAAGTCTTCTGGTTTTAAACAGAAAATGGAAACCTTACCAAGACATACAGATAATTCTGTAAACAATACATGAATGTATAATTAAGCATATAAAAATATTGTTATTATATTTATATCATTATAATGTTCTTTTTAATGTTAACATTCTGGCTTCAAAGGAAGAAGAAATTTTACTAAGCCAAGCATTTAAGCACTGATTTTTAAAAACACAAACCTTTTCTTTTGCTTCCAGAATTTTTGCCTCCAAATCAGCTGGTATTATTTTGCCTCTGTAATTATCACAGAAACAGAAAGTTAAAGTATGTATATGGAAATAATAGCTGCAGTTGAAATAATTTAATAGGATTTTCTCAACAGGCAATTAGCAACTTGACACACTGTACTGAATCAGCCCTTAAACAAAATAAAACAAATTTAACAGCTGAACACATTTAATCTATCAAAACTTTAGTATTCATCCTACCTTTCATTGCATTTTATCAAAATAACATTGTCTGTTCCAAATCCAAGTGCAGCTCCAGCTTTCTTTATTGAGTAGTGACTCTGCAGCAAACAAATGAACATGAAATGGAGTGGCTGTTTAATGACGAAGCATTTTCACAACACATGCCAGTAAATTAAGAATTGCAGAATATGTAGTGTTTTAAGCTCACATGCTCTGAGGTAAAGAGAACCAATTTAGGGACTGCAGCCATGCCTTTGGTTTTAACTTCAGGGAAATACTTGTAGCGTGCAGCCATTATGCTGTACATGTTGGAGATCGCTCCTCCTGTGAATGAACAAATAAATGAATAATAAAATAGTGATAATGAAAACAAAAAGCATATTATACCACAGACATTTGTGTCTCATTTGCATAATGCAGTGAAAGTGGCAGTGAACTACGAAAAAACATTTCTCTGAAATGCACTGGCATCTGTCTAAATAGCACAGGACAGACTCTTGAGAAAACCAGAGTGATAATCAGAATTTCCTAAATGCCATCTCTTTCAATTGCAATCACTTTGTATACATTCCTAAAAAGTTCAGATTTCATTGTGCTGCTTTTGCATAAACTTCTTGTTAGCAAGAACAACAGGAACTTATTAAATTGTCTGATTGAAGAAATGTCACATATTGGATGGATTTATCCCATCTTACTGTAGACAAAGAAGTAGGTGAATAAATGTAGATTTCTACAGCTGAGCTACTTCTAAACTCCCTCACAGTCAGTTATGGAAAAGAGGCATCTCACAGGCTATGATTCAGCTAATCTACTTTCACACTTAATTTTGAAGAATTTGAATACAGGGAAAGCACCTGTTTACCTTGGTTTGCTGCTAAAAAGAGCCTGGAACAATTAGCTCAGTTCTTTGGTGTAAATCTCAAGCTTTAATAAGAACAGTCTCACCCCTAAACCTAAGAAGGTTTCTTCTTCCTCTGAAATTTTGTCATTGATGAGAACACAGAAAGATCTGTATTTTTGGAGTGTGCACTTTATGTGGGCTGTTCCAAAAGGAGGTGGTTTTGTTCTTTATGCTCTGTAACGGAATGGTGTTCCCTCATGCCAAACCCAGAAAAGTTCTGCTGGGCAGCCACATGGTCCACACATTGGCCCAGGACCTTCACACGTTTCATCATCAGTCATTTCTGTCACTGCTCACTGCCTTTATGTTCCTTGTATGGGAAGACACATTGTCTTGGTCTTTATGCTAGAATCATATTGTGAATCCAATCAGATTATATCCCAGATAATGAGTTCCAGAAAGTGACAATCATAACCTTTTCCTGTGGACTGTGAGCCCAAATCCTCGCTGACCACCAAAGAAACCAATACATGATTTTTGAGAACTGCTAGTCAAAAGAAGTTGTGGTTGCTCAGCACCTCCAGAAATGAAGCTCATAAAAGGGGTGTTTAAATGCCTAACTATGCACCAGAGCCCATAGTCAAGTTTTAAATGCTGACCAGCCATAGTACATAGCCATACACAGAGATAATTTTTTGCCCAAATTTTCTGTGGGATGTTTGAACAAAGCATTTCTACTTCTAAATATCTGACTCACATCTGCTTTGTGTTGCAGATATTGTAACTATTCAGACACAACCTATGCTTATTTTAACTTTTGAAGTTTTAGTCAAACCATCAAAATGAGAAGAGAAACTCACCAGGTGAGAATATTCCATCACCATCTTTGTTTGACCATCCAATAATCTCCCTCATCTTTCGAAGTGTTATTTGTTCCATGAGGACAAAAACAGGAGCAATTTCATAGGTAAACCTGCATAGATAAATAAAAAAAAAACAAACAAGGACAATAAAGATACAGATTCTAAAAACATATTATAAATTTCCAATCTGTGGTTCCTGTAACTTGAGGTTCTGATCCTGAAATTTACTCAAGCAAAAATCCTCAGGAAGACAATATTGGAAATACTGATGAATAAAAACTGCAATATTAGATATTTTGCAGCTTTCTATATCGTGAACGTAAGACCTAATGTTCAACATTAAAGTGCTGCTGACTTCTGTACAAGGTTGTCCTTTAAAACAACTGTTTCCCAAAGTGCCAATTCCACACTTGTAAAATAACATACTGCTAAATCCTTATGAAAACAGTGAACTTCACTGAGCTAAACAAAACCATAATTAGAAGTATTGAGCTAGGGTTTCAAAGTCTAAATATAATTCATTATGTGGATTTATTCTGTTGATGATCTCCAAGGACAACTTACTTCTACAATACAACATGATCAATAACTGTCAAGAGTAATTACAAATGATGATTTTCTAATTACCAATTACCAAAACCAAGTCATCAGTCAACTATTGTATCCACTTAATGAGGGTAAAAAACATTATATATCCTGGCCTGCCCTGATGTCAGAGTTGGATATGTGGATGGAAATTGACAACCATACAACTATTTTTGGTGATCAAAGTAGATGAACGAACTACTACTGCTGTAAACAAATTCTGCTTGCTGTGTGTGGGGAAAAAAATAAGTAAGGGGGGAAAGGAAGCAGAGAGAAATGAAGAAATCAACCTCTGATTTCCAAAGGAATCTATAGGGGTATGACAGTATGACAGTTCTGATTTGACTGATACCTTCCACTTGAATAATGTTGTCAAAACGTATGTGTTGTCTCTCTAATACTAAAATGATATTTTGAGAATAGGTACAGCAAACTTGAATGAGGTATGGTATTAAGAAGGGAACAAGTGTCTGAAAAAGCTTGTCTTTTATTTACAGCCACACTGGTTGCTTCCACTGTTAATATTTTATTCAATTTTTATGTGTCCTTAGTCTATCAGAGAAACACCACCATTATTTTTAAAATATTCCCTTAAAATATTCCCTTAATGACCTTCATTAAAGATTTCTAATTTGTTTAATTATTGTGATTGCTATTTTCAGAAGCAAAAATACTATTTATTTTGTTTTTATTATCATTAGAACTGGCAGAGACATTTCAATACTGATCTGCCACTATTTACAAATGGACAAAATTAATAAACCAGTGTCTGCTAACAGTGGTTTGGGGTTGTTTTGTTTTTAAGCACTGAAAGTCTAGAATATATTCCAATTTTTATTTAGGCAGAAGGATCAGCTGATGTCACAGGAACTCAGCAGTCTATAGATCACTGTAGCTCCATACAAGATAGTCTTAAGTCAATGGGATTGTTTTTTCCCCACCAGTTTAAACACATTTTTGTTTTGTCCTGAGACCTTGCACACTGAATTTTGAATATATTTAAATACAAATTCTGTGGTTATTTTCTGAGTCTCCAAAACCTGACAAGAAATAAATGACAGTAGATGTTTATAAATTACAAGACCAATGAAGATATATTAGATGATGGCTATGAATTTACAAATCACATCTTGTTAAAGTTCATTCCACCTTACTTGTTTTAAAGTTAAATTATTTTGAAAAATTCTCTAAAACCCCCCCAAAAAAAAAGTGTTTGGCTTAAAAGGAGCCATCTAACTTTAGAATCAATCTCCTAAAAAAAAAAAAAAAAAAAAAAAAAAAAAAAAAAAAAAAAAAAAAAAAAAAAAAAAAAAAAAAAAAGCTGATTAGATTTTCCTATAGTTACAACATTTACAGGTATTTCTGTGAATTAACTATCACAGTCATGACTATCAGCTCTTTACTAACAGAATGTACTAACAGGTTTTTTGGTAGAAGCCAGTGCTGGCTTAATTCTGCTCTTACATAAAGGACAAAACACTTTATCAGACCAAATAATTCTAGCTACCATTCTCTTGTTGGCCAGTATGTAAAAAGCAGTCTGAAAATAAACACAGAACATTCTACATCAATTTTCTATTCATAAGCATAGCTGCATAATACTGAAAACACCAATATATTCCCTTGTCTCAGCTAACAGCAGGAATAAACAGAACTTCCAGATAATATTTATTTTTAACCTCAGTTGGCTGCTGCATGGTGACAGAATGGCCTGTGCTACACACCTCTAGAACTGGATGAATAATGAAATTCTGAAATTTCCATGCTGAAGGTCTCATGATTAGAGATTGAGCTATGAATAGCACATTGATACATTATTTCCAAGTCAATGGAGGAAGCTTATTATGTTTATTTTTATATATTATCTTCACAATGACATTTAAGTAATATTTCCTAATGATAATTTAAAATTTTAAGGGAGTACAGATGTTTTGATTAGTCAAAACTCATCTGCAAAAGAAAACACATACTTTTAATTGTTCATAAACATTTTAAGTATTGTTTATCTTTAGAAAAGAAAAAATAGCATATGAAAACCATTCCCTGCTATAATTTAACGTTACTGTTGCTTTTGTGTTATGTGCTCATGTAATTGTATAGGTTGGAACAGTTTCTAGGTAAAGGTCAAAATCTGTTCTGGCCTGCTGGAACACTGCTCAAAACAAATACTATGTTTCCCAGAGCTCACAAAGGTGATTTGGTTATTTTAATAACCTTCTCTGTCAGTTCTTTGAATCATATTTTACAAACATCTTGCTTTAACCTTATTTGCAATTACTGTGTTACTTGAAAGCACACCATGTTGACTTTGGTTTTCTGAAAAAAAGGCACACTAAGCCTCATGCTAACAAATAGATACTAAATGTTCATGTTCACAGAGAAGTATTTTCAAGATACATTCATTTTTAAAGCACAAATGGATGAGAAATTAGCTATTTAACATTTTTCCAAAAAAATGGAAAACATCAATTAAAAAGTTACTCTTTAAGAAGTGACTAAATGAGTGCAATGTTATTAATAATGATGTCATTTCTTTATCCTGTCAGTCTGCCACAGAACTGAATTCTTTTATGTTTTATAGGTCTGTGTAATTTCACTGATTACAAAAGGATAACTAAACTGGGATAACTAAGTCAAATGGGCTTGGAAAAAGTGGCACTGAAATATTGGTCACAGAGAAACAACCTTTAAGCAAAGTTTTTTAGAAATGTGATCAGAACTGTTTTCACTTTTAATCATGCTGCTAAAAAGACAGATAAAAGCACTTTAAACTATTTACAATACTTGTTTAATAATTAAAACATATATTGCTGGGTTTTCTTCCCAATCAGCTTTTAAATCTGAATGTCTCATACCAATTTTCAGCAAACAGAACTAACTGAGATGAATATTACAAAGAGAAGGCTGGTTTTGGCTGGAGCACCTTAGGTTTTTATTTTATTTTATTGTTAATGTCACAAAACAGGCACAGCTCCTAATCTCCATATAACTGCTAGTCATCGGCTATATTTAATGACCTATATACTCCCAAATAGGCCAGTGAAAATATTGTTCATTTTCCAGTCTGAAGATAGATATCATATGTTATGACAATTAGCAACAAACTCCCCAAAACAGAGGTGGCTTTGCAGTTAAGACACATTCAGTACAGGACTAAAACAGAGCAGTCTTACCTGCTGAGTATATGGACTCCCTTCATGGTTTTGAACATATAGAAATCAAAATACAAATAAAAACTGACCAGAAGGTTTGGTGGGTTTTTAGTGGTTTGGGGGTGGGGTTTTTTGTTTTGTTTTTGTGGATGTTTTTGTTTAGTTTTGGGTTTTTGTGGTTTTTTTTTCATTAATTGCACTCTGCTGCAAAAATTCATCATAATACCTTACACTGATATTTAGCTTTCATTAACTTTGAGGCAAAGAAAAATTAGGAAAAGTTTCTTATTTGATTCATTCAGATGTCAGATTTTACTTTTTTTATACTTCCTTTTATTCATTAACACATGACTTTATTAATCTTAGGCTAATTCCTTCATTAGCATAAAATTATTTTTCAGCATTACATTTTTAATCATTTTGAAGCTACCCAGAAGCCACTTCTTTACTAGCACATGAACAAAAGGTATTGCCTCAAGCCTGCTATCTCTGAAGTCAACAGTAGAGAAGAAAGTAAATTTTTCCATATCTTGTGTTCTAGTGTTAATATGTGGATAGCTGCAGACCTGTTCAGTCTAGAGACAAAGTTTTTTGAAAAAAAGAAAAATATAGAGAAGATTGATCCAAAAGAAGAAAATTAATTTCATGTTATATTAGAATAATAATGTTTTACTTACCATAGCTCTCAGATATTTGCATTTCTATTTATAAGAAACATAAAACTGTTCAATTTTATGTAACTATTTTTATAGTATTAATGACACATTTAGAAAAACACGAGACATTTTTTCTGGAAGATGTAACATTCATAATTTAAAAATTAAAATAATTCATATCTGTGACAATACCTATCTACCATGATACACAGCAGCCCATGTAAGCACCAGTCACAGACACTGGTGACAAGACACTGCTTACATGTTTGTATTAGCAGTAGATGTCAGCCATTCCCCAGCCAAGCCAATAATGTCCAGTCCTGTGGACAGCTGATTGAAAAAGCGAGGATGACCTGAAAAGAGAATTGAGAGTAACTTAGAACAAACTCTAACGGTATCTCTCAGGTTTCAAATTTAAACCATCCACCTTTTCTGAAACAAATCACAGATTTGTACTCAGAATACTTGCAGCGAAGTTTTCAATGCAAGTCCTTCTTATGGGGACAATAGCCGACATTCACGGGTGTCTTATTACAAACCTGAAAAAACGCTTCGGATGGATGGGAGCTTCTGTATGGAATCCTTTGCCTTTAAAAGAGAACCTCAGAATCGACTGAGCCTGTGAACACCTCCGGACCTGCCCAAGGGTTTGGGCTAGCCCATTTCCAGAGCCCTCTTCCGACTTCTGTCCTACTGCGAGCTCGGGAAAGGAGTTCACGGTGGAGGACACCTCTGTGGCAGGAACAACTTTCAGGTACTGAGGTTATTTGCATTTGAATGGAGAAAAAGAGGAAGGCTCAGGCGCTTGACCTGAGGCTGCAGGAGTGAGAGGGCTCGGAGGAGCCAGTCTCTCCCCCAGCTACAAAGACACGGGAGTGATGTTTTTGCGGGGTCTCGGCAGGAATACCCCAGCGCTGCAGAGGAGGGACAGGGCCCCGCAAGAGCTCCTCGACTTGGGTCCTTTTCCCACGCGTTTTATAGAATTAACCTGCTTAAACAGAATTTGCAATTGAACCGAAGTAAATCACATCCCTGGATTTCAGCCGAAGTTGCTTTAACGACTTTCAAAAGGAATAATCCCGACTCTTAGGGACCTACTTTTCTAGCACGAAGAGAGGAAATTCCTAACTGGTATCGGGCGTTGAGGGGAGGTGGGAGGTGTCATTATTTAGATCCCTCTGCTCTCTGGAGAAGGACACGCAGCACACTGGGGGCAGACGGCCCTAGAAGAGAGGTCAGCTCTCGACGCCTGGAGGGGACCCTGTCAAGTCGGATTCGGTTCAGCACTAGGAACATCAGCATCTTTTGACATGAAGAAATAAATGCGGTTCTGCCCCGAGCGATGTCAGCAGTAATCTTTTGGAGGCGTGAGCCTGCCAGCGCTGCCACATCGCGACACTTCCTGAAGAGGATATGCCGCAGCCGGGCTGTTCCCGCCCGGGGAACCCACGGCTCGGGGCTAGAGCCCAGAAATACCACCGTGGCTTAGCTGTTGGCTTTACAAATCAGCACTTCTCTCCCTTTCCAGGACACACTGACTGGCAGGCTATCTTCAGCGACATTTCGCTGACCGCCCATAGCTGTTAATGAGCCCGCGATCTCCTAAGGCTGGGCTGCAGATTCAGACCCGGTGACTTTGAAGGGAGCTTAGCCTTGAGAGAGAATGTGAGCCCCAGGAGCCCACAGCAGAATGCGTGTCCTGGGCAGTCAGACGACCCGAGCAGCACTTTAAAGCTGCACCGGACAGCGCTTTGAATGGAGCTTGTGTCCAGTCGGATACCTTGCCTCTCAGGTCCTGGGGACACGCCCTGCTGGCCCCACAGGAGCTCCAGGGGATGTCGGGGTGAGGGGAGCAGGCTGCTCGACTTGCGGCACGATGAATAGCAGAATAATGGTACATACAGAGCATACAGAGCGCAGCCACTCTGACTTAACTTCAGGCCACCTGTCCAACAACCCACGCGTTTGGGAGTGAAACACTCTCCCCTTTGATTAAGAGTACAAAAATCAAAGTATGCCCCGACTCCACTGAATCGATCAAACCATCATGTAAATAGGAAAAAGGACAGAACTCTACCCGCCACATCTGTTGTCAAGATTTTGCTCCTTGAAAACTATCCACAAGAGAAAGCTGCGGCCCGTCCTTCAGGAGCCGTGGCTCGCAGCTGCCCGGCCGGAGACTCCCGCTCTGAGGTCCCGCCGCTCCGGCCCCGCGGGGAGATCTCCGCCCGCTGCGGTCGAGCCGAACCCTGCCGAAGAGGGCAGCCGGCCGGCCGGAGCTCAGCAGCCATGAAACGCTGCAGCAAGGGACAGGAAACTCGGCGCGCTCCATTACCGCTCCAGCTCCTGACCCGCTTGGATACGTACGGCAGTCAGGGATAGTTGCCAGCCAAGATTCCTGTGGATCCAATGTAAAACATTTCAGGCCAAACAGCACAGCCTGAAAGAGCATTGACTTTGCTCTAGATCCTGGCTACAGCTCACCCAGTAAAATAAGTGATTACAAGCCAGGATTTCTGTCTGATTCAGAAGGACCTGGACGGGCAGGGCTCCTGGGTAATGGGTTGAAATCCACAGGGTTCCTTTATTGATGATTCCTAGGATTTTAGTCCCCTTTTCATTAAACATTTGATGAACATAAAAAAGAAAAATTGCAAAATCTGTGTCATTTATGCCCTCATTTACCTAATGATATTGCTCCCCGGAGATACAGACAGCTCACGTTTCATCAAGTGAAAGAGATTACGTCTTAAAAACTTGTTTTTGTGCTCTAAAAACAGCACTGAGCCCTACCCGGCAGGGACCAATGGTCATCAGTAAAGAACGTTTCTAAGCAGAAACATTTCCAGAGCCTGCAGCCAGCCCTGCAGCCGAGCCTGCACGGAGCACAGTCACGGGTGTAGAGAGGGTGTGGGCTTACCTCCATGAGCTGTCAAGCTCTCTTCACCGTGAGCCTGAGAAAAGCCCCAGAAGGGACTGGCCACAGAGTAGTGTGCAAAAACCTACCTGTTCTCACTCCGTATTTCAGTGTGTCCCGACAATCCACCAGAATCTGCTCCAGGGATTCAGGGTTGTCTGAAAGCTCCAGGTTGAAACCCTCCATACCCTCCAGGAGCTGGTGTGGGTGGTGGAAGTCCAGCACTTTGGTGGATCTGTCAAAAGTCTTCTTCACGTAGTTGAGAAGGATGTCCACAACCTCCAGCAGAAACTGCATGGTCTGCTCCTCACCATTCTTGGAGGGCAACAAATCTGTGGGGCAAACCACCTGTCAGCACTTGCTTTGGGAGAGAGAAGCAGAGATGAACCAGCCTCAGCTGCCCGCAGTGTTCCAAGGACCTGGAAGCTGCGGTCCCAGCGCTGCCTGGTTGCAGCCAGGCAGACTCCCAGTCCCTCTCACCCCGTGGAGAAGGGCGAGCCTAGGTCGCCCACGGCAACAGCAGAGATACCTCCAAGGCTCCCTGGCCTACAAGCACACCCTGCAACGCAAAGGTTGTGTGACACGAGGCACTCACCTTCTATGGGTCAAAAGTACCCGAAATCTGCACCTGTCCTTACCTTGCAACGTCCCCACCTCCACCCTGCAAAAGGATTGCTTTCTTTTTCCCACCCTTCTTGCAATGGCCCTGTACCAGCAATCACAGGTGCTTAATTACTGGTTTACTAAAGAGGATAAAACCAGAATTACTCTCCTCCCAGATGCTGGATGTGGAGAAACCCTGGAACCACTGAAGCTGAACTGCAGATGATCAGCCTAAAGTACGTAAAACTGCTTTTCAGGCAGCTAGCATACATCGCCAGTGCAGCTACCAAAAAACACAGACACAGAACTTCAAAAACAGCCAAGGAAAAGCACGGTCTGAACACAGCTGCACTTCCAGGGGAGATGAGGTCAAGACTACTAAGGGACATGCCTGAGCTGGAGCAAGGAGAAACTGTAAAATGTTTACCTCTGGCATACAGATTGGAAAAGTCTGTCTCGGTGCGCCGGAACCTGGATTCCTTCTCACTGTTCTCGCACGCCAGCAGGCTCTTGGAGGACTGCCTTTCCTTCAGAGAGCTGACAATCCGGCCCTTGTCTTCCAGGCTGTTGGTCCTTTGCAGGAACCCTACATTATTATTGCAAGGTGCACAGGTCAGAGTTTTCTCACTTCCCAACATGTTTAGAAATATCTAAAGCAGCTCTCTAGACAACAGTTAAAAGTGGTATTGGCTCTAGATCTGACTAATGAGGTCAGGAATAAGGGTATTTATGGGGATTATTTGCCTCCAGGAGGGAGAGTTCAAAATGCCATCAACTGCAAAAACGCAGCCATGCAAAAAACAAAATCTCGTCATTTAGTGCAGTGGTAAATTCTTATTAAGTCGATCAGACAGATTCCACTTCAGTAATCAGCCACTGGAAGAGAGTTCAAGATGAGTCAATGCTATTTCAGCCTGCAGGCGAAGTTTATGGACCTAGCAGACAGGGGCAATGATGTATGATTAAAATCAGGGCCATTTTCAGTTCTCCTCGTGGTGCTCTCACGCACAAAAGGCATGAGAGCAAGCAGCCATTCTGGAGCATCTGTCCTGAGAGTGTTAGAACTCTGAGGATACCAGTAGTACCCACATAATCCCACCTCCCTATTATCAGTAAGTACTGATGCGGATTTTCCACCTGAAAAGATGCTTTGATGCTAACAGTAATCATCCCCGGAGGTTTTAAGAGCTCCACTCTCACCGGAAACGCATCTTTGGCACCCAGAACCCGAACACAAGTGCTGCTGTTATATGTCACGGCAATAATAAACCCACTCACCCCAAGAATCATTGGGGCAGGAGCCACGCAGAGTCCGCGGCGAGTAATGACGTCTGCTTTAACACGGCAGGGAGAACAGTTAATTTTATGGATTTGATACATTAAATTTATGATGCCCACAAAAACACTCATAGTATCGGGCTTTTTGTCATTAAGGAAAGCATTGGATTTTGACCTTCTGGGTTGCACCGAGTGTGCCTATATGTTTGGAAGAGGCACTACGGTGGTGCCGGTCTCCTTTATTATTTATTTCCTTTTAAAACAAGCAACAATCGAAAACAAGGCTCGTCGCGGCTGGGGATATCCGCCAGAGAGGAGGGCTTAGCAGGGAGGAAAAACAACGTCCTGAGTTCCCTCATTCAAGTTCCCCGACACCACTTCTCTTCAACGCCCTCCGCTTTCCGGCCATGTGTCGCTGCTCTCCGGAGCCGTGACGGCGGACCGGGACTGTGGACACCTCCATACGGGCCATGCGGGACTCCTGCATCTTGGGCAGGCATAGGGGCTGAACGTCGGAGGAGAAAAGCGGGTGGCAGTGAGCTGCTGGGCCAATTGCAGCCGGCGCGGTACCTGTGCCTCGGACCGTGCTGCCAGCCAGGCAGGCACAACAGAGCTATCGAAATTGGAGCACTTGGCTGGCAGGCCCTTCTGCATCAGTCGGGTACCCAGACGAGTCTCCAGGAGGATCGCTCACAGGTAAGTTTGTCAGAGCCATACTTTCAGTGAACATCTCACATTTTGCCTTTTAATTCTGGTCTTCTACTGATTAGTCTTTTCCTGTGATGCTTTTACGAATGAGACAAAGACTATTTAAGGGAAACTCTTCGTGTGTAAGTTAAGAGTAGCCATATATATATATATATATATATATATTTAAAAATGTAATGTTTAGGTATGATTTTGCTGCTTCTAATGGCTCTTGCAGCGATCATTAGCTCCTGCAACAGCTAGAGCTATTTGCCTGCTCATTAGGAGAAGCAGCTGATATCGAAGCAGGTGCAGTCTAAACTGAATTATGGATCCTCTTTTACCAGGTCCTGGGGCTTCATTTTGCTTTGTTTTCCCCCCACCCGTCTTTTTTTCAGGCTCTCAGTAGGGATGCTCAAGTGGGACGAGTTCCGTGAGAAGAGACGCCTGTAGGAACAGCCGCGTTCCGCTTGCCCCGAGAGCCGTGCTCCTCGTACAACTGGCGCTCCCCTCGGCGTGCAGACGAGGGGTGGGAAGGAGGGAGTTCGTTCAGTAACAAAGGCTGCAGTTGCCTCCAGTTCAACTCTCATCGGGCCCAGCGAGGCCGTGGCTTCGCTGAAGGGTCTGCCCTAACTAGACGCTGCGGGCAGGGAGCTCAGTCCTTGTCCGAACGTCTCTGCGGCTGTTCTTCCCCGCGGAGGCTCCCCGGACCCGCCGTGCCCCGGAGCCGAGGATCAGCTGGGGCTCGAAGCGGCCGCGCACGGGGCCTGTCCGCCCGCGCCTCGTGGGGCTGCGCGGCCGCGCTGGGGAGGCTCGAGGGCGAGGATTAGAGGACGAAAACAGCCTGAAGGCAGGATCGCGCTGCCGGCCGACATCAGCCCATCCGGTAACGTGCCACGGCAGTGTCTCGTGGACCTGGAGACTCGGCATAACGGGGGGCCCGTGGGGCAAGGACAGCCCCCGCTCCGGAGCAGCCGGACCATCTCGTCTGCCGAGCCCCTCCCTGGGAGGGTGTGGGACGTTCGCGGTCTGCAGAGAAGGGTAACAGCCGGCCCTTGAAGGCCCCTTCCGCTCCCGGGGAGAAGCGCTTGACTGTAGCCGACCTTTCTTCTGTATCCTGCTTAAAAAGCGAGGCCGGTGCAGGAGAGTTCCAGCAAGTAGCAAAGTATGAATTAATGTCCACTCTGCTTCTCCTGGAACAGCGGAGAGCGCAGCCTTTTTCAGCAGTAGGTCCGTTCCGCAGGTGCATTTTCATCGATGTGCTTTAAGAGACCGAGTTTTCAAGAGCCGAGCGACACCAGGGAGTACCTCGGTGCGCAACGTGACCACAAATTCAACGTGATTTCACATCAGGCCTCGCACAGGGCAGGTGTGTGAGCCCCCTCGGCACCGCAGCCCTGGGGGGAGGCGGGGACAGACCTGCCGGGTCCCGGCGCGCACCGCAGCCATCGGGAGGTGCACGGCGGTGGCGGCTACAGGAGATCCTGCACCCCGCCGCGGTCGGGGTGTTTAGCACCACCTACGTAAATTATGCTTGGCAGCAAAAATCTCTCGAACTCCGGAGACGAGCCCAGTTTCCAACATGCATGGCTGCTTTGAAAGCCCCACTCGCCCGCGTTGCTCACTGGGTTTGGAATCATCAGCTGGCCGAGGCCAAACAGGAGACGCGCCGGAGCAATTTTTTCTACGTTAAGCATTCCACTGGTGCCAAATGTCAACAGGATCAGTCTCAGCAATAACAATTGCCACGGTGGGAGTGTAGCATACAAATCCAGATATATGGGGAAATCTGCCCATATTTTGGCCACCGTGACAGTTCATTAAACTGCTTAAAATAGGGGTTTAGTTTTGGTTTTGGTTTTTGTTTGTTTGGTTTTTTTTAGGTGGATATGTGCAGTGATGAATGGGGGGGGGGAAGGGGTCGGGAGGGGTGGGGGTAGTAGAAGCGGCAGCGCTCTTTTCAGGCAGTGGCTTTCAACCAGAAAAGGAAAAAAAACTAATCCTTAAATCGCTCAGTTATTTATGAAGAAATTACATACATCTTGGCTACGAAATTATTGAAAGTGTCAAACCCATTCAAAATTAATCGACTTCAGTGTGATATGCACAAAAGGAACAATTCCAAGGCGCCTTTGTGACTATACAATATTTAGGGTCCGGAATGATATCTTGTGAAAGGTAAGGACAAGAAGGTATCACCTGCAACAGTCAAATGTCAACTCGTTTAGCATGTTTAATTAGGATTCTTAGCAACCTTAATACCTCACTCTGTTTACCATTGGCAACCTTCCCTGTGTCTTTGTGAAGGTGTTCCAGTCAAATGGGAGAGCCCATACAAGCAAAAACAGTGGTCCTGATCAAATCTGAGTATTCCAAAACGGCATTGCTCACTATTCAGAGTATATTCTTCGTATAAAACAGAAAAGAACCAGTAAAGGAAAACTGAGCAGGAAACCACAACCAGAAATACAGCCTGTCTTGAACTCCCTTCACAAAGCCTTCACTACACTCTCTTATGTCCTTCTCAAATCCAAAATGGTGGGATATTCAATTTTCAAGTATTTGAGCTCATTGAGAGAAGCGGCGCTGTCCTTCTCTAACCCCCGTAGTCTAGCAACACGGAGCAAGCCTAAATGCGCGTTACTTTATCAGTTCTGCTTGCCGGGCTAAATTAAAATGATGGTGAAAATGCCGATCGCTCCAGCCACTGAGGGGACTGGTAGGGAAATGGTCCATTAAACCCAGATCAGGAGCTATTTATAGAACTGAGCGACTACTCGTTAATGTCGCCAGCGGCTACCAGTGAAATCTCTCACAGACACAGGGCTAAACATTTGCACCCTGATTCTTTTTCCGTTCAAACTTCCAGGTGACAAAACGCTTAATGAATGAACTTCGCCTCGACCAAGCAGGGAAAGAGGTTTAAATGCTCCTTTGCATCGAAAAGAGGTTAGTTTCTCCCACGACATATTTCCCATCCCCTCAAAAGAGACAGAGGGGGAAAAGAGGAAATAATTTCTGTGCGTAAGGGGTATGGGCTAAACGGAATGATTCCCCCATCAGAATATAAAGATTTGACTGTTAGTCTCTGAAAGCGAAGGCGCTACTGAGATATCTAGAGAAGGAAGACAGCTTGTTATCTGCAAATGAATCTCTTGCTATAACGTTGCGATCTGATTGTGCATTTGTTTCCCTTCTGCATTTCATGTGCCTGAGCGCTGACTGGCTGCCAGCGCTATCTTACCAGAACAGCAAGCTGACGAATTGCTCTTTAATAAGGCTCTCGTTAATCTTTTTTTTTTTTTCCCAGGAGATCCGTATTTTCTAGTCAGATAAGGCTGAAAAATCCCAGACAGTGAGAGGCGGCGAACCGGCCCCCCACCCCCCGGTTTTCCTCCGGCCTCTCCGGCGGGTCCTGAGCTTTCTTCGCCCGGAGCCCGTATGTGGCAGGAGGGGCAGCGGGGCCGCCGCCGTCCCTCCCCCGGCGGACAGAACCTCGGCCGCGGACGGCCCACGGGAGGGCACAGCGGCGGGGCCGGGGCCGCGGAGCCGCCCTGCGGCCGGCAGGGGGCGGCCGAGCCAGGGCCGGCGGGCGGCCGGGGCTGCCCCCGCTGGGGCGACCGCGTCGTCACGCGTGGGTGTGCGGGGTGTCGTACGGGGAGGCACGGCCGCACTTACCGCATATCTTCAGCCCGATCTTCCTGGTGCACCCGTGAGCCACGCCGCACCATGAGTCGTAAGCTGGAAGAGAGAGCAGAGTTGTTCCCCTGGGGCGGCGGGGCTGTCCGGCCGCCGCGCCCCACCCCGGTCCCCCGCACGGCTCCATAGCCGTGAGAAACGGCTGACACCGAGCCCGGCGGCGCTGGGCGCGGGGCAGCTGAGGCTCGAACGACAGCGAGGTGACATGCTGGCCTGCCCAGAGGAGAGGCGAAGGCACCCGGGACCCGACATCTCATCATTTACTGGCGGGGCTCCAGGGAAGCAGCAGCTTAAAATAAAGTGGCGTGAAATGGGGTCACAAAAGAGTTCAGGAATTAATTGGGTGAAAAATAGTATTTGACTAGATGATCGGACTCGCATCATTGAGCCTCGGACGGACTGACGGGGCACCCGACGGCCCTACTGGGACCGCACCCCCAGAGGGAACAGGCTGATTCCCAGCCCCTCGAGTCGTGGCTCGGACACGCCCCGGTCGGCCCCAGCTGAGCCCACGGGAAGCGGGGAACGAAGCCCAGGACCGAGGTGGAGGGTGCGCCAGCCGCGGCCACAGGCACTACCGAGCCTCTCCCGTTCGTCGCTCACGGCACGGGGCAGCCGCAAGTCCAGTAGCGACGGACCCAGAGGGCGAGCGGGGGCCGGGGGTGGCTGACGTGGCGTGGGGGGAGAAGGTTTCAGACGGCTCACCCAAGCACGGAGGCAGCGGCCTGACTCTCGGGGAGGGGGAAGAGCCAAGGCGCTCCCGACCGCGCGGAGGGACCCTCTCGGCAGGGGCGCTGCCCGCGCCCGGGGGTGGGGAGCCCGTGTGGGCAGGGCAGGATGCTGCTGCCAGCGGTTATCTTTGTTTTAGCTGTGTTGCCAATTAATTCGATTTCTCTGTGTGACACCTCAGTCGAAGGCAGCAGTGCCTGCCACGCGCGCCTGAAACAAGACCCAGTTCTGCCGTTTGCCCCCTTTCCCGTTTTTTCCAGTTTCAGAATAATGACAATAATGACTCCGATGCTCCGTGTCTCGGACTGCTTTCAGGGTAGAAGCTATTACCTGCTCTGCTGTCCCTGACAACCTATCATTTCTTAGTGTTGGCCCGCTCTTTGTCTCTGATGCTTCATAACATCGAGCCTCTTATTGTTCGGGTTTTAATTTTTTTTTCCTGTAGGCAATGGTCTGAACTGCCTGGCAGGGCTTATAAACTGATTCTCTATCCACCTGCAGCAGCCTCTGCTTCCCACTCACACCTCAATAACTCAAGGCGAATTCAGAGCAATTAGGAATATAACGCTTTGAAAAGCTGCAATTAGCATCCAAATTTCGCTTGATTACAGGCTTCAGCGTAGGCTGAAAAGAAGCTGCAGCATTAGCATTTATAAAATGTAGCTGGGAGACACCTGCTTTAATACCCTGGTGTAACTTCGCCCTTTAACTGATTTGTTTTCTCCTCACCCCTTCCAACATCCCGATTTTGTTGTTCATCTGGGAGGTCAGTTTATTGCCTGTATCTCTCAAACGTGTTTGTAAGATAAAGACAACGTTGGCCAGTAAGGTGGGCTTTTCCTCACAGCGTTTTACTCGCCACGGACCGACCTCTCCTGTTCCCAATAGGAAGATGGTTTCTTTGTGTAGAGCACTTTCCGCACCTTGCTTAATGGCGCGGAACAAGGCTTCATAGATGTATCATTTCGTTTCGAAACTGGTCTTTCTGAGCCTAAATGGAGAAAGCCTCCAAAACACTTAAAACGAGGAAAATAGCAAAACCTACTTGTAGGTCGCAGATTAGGTGGGGTGGGGTCCGGAGCATCGTTGGAGGACGAGGGAGCAGAGGAAGCCATCCCTTCAGAAAAGCCCCGGTCCTCGGAGCTCGTATTTCCTCGATATTCCTCTGAGGGGTGGGCAGCAAGGAATTTGCTGGAAGGAAGAACAGGCGGGTTTAGTAGTCTAGTCTCCTGGAGCACCGCACCAGAGTCCCGTCTAGACGTCAGCGGGCGGCAGCCGCGCAGGTCCCGAGGCGGCGGCAGGACCGGCCGAACCGGGAAAATGCCTCGACAGACTGAAGAGCAAAATCTTCCCTTCCCTAGATTCCAGGGCGCTACCCCCCGCGCCTGAATGACGGATTTAGCAGAGCATGAAGCCTATAGCAATTATATCGGTGGCCACTGAGCAGGGCAGTTATACGGCTCGCATCAAATGGAGACCAACGTGCAAAGCGGACTTCGAAATCACCAGCCCAAACGACCTACAATCCCAAACACAGCCCGCTTCTGGGCTTTACCAAACACACGTCAGGCTGAGCATTCAGGAAAGACTGACAGACAAAACCCCGCCACAACAAAGGTGCGTTTTGCCCAGGTCCAATGACAGGCGCCACATACATGTGAATTTACACACACATGTTTCAGCAAACCGGGGCCACTCTGTGCTCCAGCACTAACCAGCGATCTCCCGTGCCCGTGCTCGCTTTTGCGGCGCAAATGGCAGGAGAGGCATGTCTGTCTGGGGAAGGGAAGGAGTAGGAGCAGCCCTCTCTCCTCGCCAGATGTTCAGCTCTTTCCTGGCGGACACGGCGTTCCGATAACCAATACAGGGTCGCTGATCGAGAATTGCCGGGTCACTGCCCAGCTCGTCTCTTTGTCCCCACGTCTACCTGCGATTTATTTTCTTCTCCTTGTAAAGAAAATGAAGGTCGCGGTAACGAAAGAACGCTTTCTTTGTTAGCGGCTTTTTTCAAATCGGTAGCTACCGATTCATTTCCACTGCTGGGTGGATTTACACCCGCGTGTAAACGCAACGGATCAATGATTTCAATGGAGAACAGGTAGTTAAATTTTTTAAGACGAGAAAGAAAACAGCCATAAGCAGAAGATATTTTCTAGACAATGCCTAGAAGTGAAGTAACAGGTTAACACTATGTCTAGGGCGGTATCAAAAAAACCCGTTATTCCTCTATTCATACGACAGCGACCAAAACCGATTTGTGGGAGAAAAAATGCTCCAGAGGTTCCCAAAGGCTTGAAAAAACCCCAGGATGCTGTTTAGAGGACACTTACCGAGGAGGCGAGCGCACACTCTTATTGCCGTAGTCCAGGTTGGCAGGACGACTCTAGCCTGGGAGCGACCCGCCGCTTATAAACTCTGCCAGAAACGACGTCGGAATATCAATCGCGCCGCGGAATTTAATGCGAGATGACCTTTTTTCCCAGAAGTGCTCGGATTTGCTTTTTTAAAAGCGTGAATCGCCAGTTGATCTGCTTCGACGCAGGCATGAGTCACAGGACTGCCGCCACCGCCTCCACTCCGCACGGGGGCTGGGGACCGCTGGGGCGGGGAAGGGCGGCCCACCGGCCCCGGCTGCTGTCGCTGGTCTGCTTCGCCCCGGGGCGGCGGGGCTGACTCCCGCGGCGGGTGGGGCTGTCCAGCCGCGGCAGGGGCGGCACCCCAGGCAGGCGGTTCTGCCGTGCGAGCCCCTCGTCGAGCACCTCGTGCGGATGGATCCAGAGGTTTCCCCTAGACAGCACCGGCTTGACCCGAGGTCGCCAGCTGTGCTAATAGGCACCGTACACATCGGCGCACCGGTGAGGCGACGCGGCCGAACTCCCGTCCCGGCCTTTCCCTGAGCATGGTGCGAGACTCGAATGAGCCGGGCGGGGTTCGTGTGAATTGTAGCTTAGCAACACCCCCTGTCCCCCGCTCCGCCGTGCTGAGGGTCTGATGTGACCCGCTGGCTCAGTCCGTGGTTCCCGCGGCTCGCCCCGCTCCTCCCCGCCAGAGGGTGGCAGAGGCACGGGTACCGCTGAAGGGGAACACCTGGATGCCTGTGACTTACCCTTAGATTACGATTTTATACCAGACATCCCTTTGCTAAAACCAGAAACATTAAGATAACGAGCTTTTCATACCCCTGACAACCCCATGTCTGCGTTACTCTATCCCACACCCTGAATATGCTTAGCCAACATTTTATGGTTGTGACCACGGTGCTGTATTTCAGCATGTCACGGTAGCTATGCAGATGCCTAAATCAAACCCTTCTCAAAAAGATGCCACATAAGGGGCTGGGAGGAATCCGCAATAAGAAGAGAGGAGGGGAAACAGTCTGATGGAGCCAGAGAATTTCATCTTATGCAGTAGATGCTAGGCAGTGCAATGAGCATCAGGGCTGTGTCCTTTCTGAAGGACTCGAGGGAAAAGCAAAAACTTACAAGCCCGTTTGGTAAAGGAAACCATCCGACAGACAGTATTAAGTAGCCAAGACAACTGCTTTGTCAAGCACACTTGCTCTCTAGGAACTGGACATATAACAAAAACACCGACAGCACAAAGGCCGGTTTTTAAACATAGCTTTACAGATATTAATGGCCCTAGCTAACATGACCTTTTCTCGTATCTAGACTATCATTTTAAAGCTGGTTTCAACCAATTGAGCAAGACAATTGCTCAGTGTAGAGTGGAAGTAATAATAATATAACTGTAACTAATAGTCTTTATAATGTAAACAAACGTTCAAAGGAAGTAATGGCAGGACTGCAATACAAAAAGTCAACGAACGACCACACAAAGAACCCCTAAGCCATCAGTCACTTTGAGGCACGACCCGGCTGGGTGTATTCCCGACACACAAATTTTTCCTTTCCTTCTGGCTTTCCAGAAGCGCGTGTGTCCGGAGTAAACAGACATGGTTTAACATAGATATTTACATCCTCGTAGAATCTGAGACCCGCACTTGGAGCCCGGCGCTCCCGGCTCTCCGCTCAGCACCTCGGACAGCGGCCGCTCCGGCCCGGCCGCGCAGCCCCGGCAGGGTGAGCGGCGCGCTCGGGGGCGCGGGCTGCAGCCTCGCACGGCCCGGGCGGTGTGCGGAGCGCTCGCTGCCTCCCGGCCGTGCAGGAGCACGCCGAGAGCGAGCCCCACGGGCCCGGCCCCGCTCCCCGCCTCTCGGCCCCTCTGGGTGGCGCTGCCTCTCAAGCCCAGACGCTCCGCAAAGCCCTGCGCAGACGCCCGGCCGCGGCTGCGGCTGCTCCGAGCCCGCGCTCACCACGGTCTATTCGTCCTGGCCCCGGCGGCGGCAAGGGAAAAGCAGCAAACCCTGGGGCTCCGCGCGTCCCTCCCTCGCTCATCTACAGCGTGGTTGTACAGCACGCCTGGAAACGCTTGCTAATTTTCATTTGCAACGGACCTGCTTGAAAAACCGACCTAAACCCGAACTACTCCAGCTCAGCGACTTCATTCAGAACTCGCCACAACCATTGAAATCTTTGAAACATCCTTGCCAGGTGTACACGCCCAGGCTCGGGCACTCAGAGATGTGCCGCTTTCACCGAGCGAGTTCAAAGTCTTCCCCTCCAGCTGTGCTCCTCCAGCAATCTGCTCTTTTCTCCTTGCACGTGACTGTCCCTTCCCTGAGTCTACTGCTCCAGTGCACTCTAGGCACAGGTTAGAGAGAATATCTTCGTAGCTGGGGATCCAGAAGACTTTGGCTTTGCTTTGAATCCAGATGTTTACTGATGATGTGAAACACGCAGAAAAAATCATTGATGCGTGGTATCAGCAAGACAGTAGGATGAAGATATGTAATTCCCTTAGCTGAAGCCTGTAAGCAGCACATCAACTAGAACTCACTTTAAATAGCCAGGCCTGGGGTATTTCTTGAATTCACCTCCATCCACAAACGGCACATGCTAAAATATGAATCCTGAATACCCTGAGTGTGCAAAGGAATGAACGTGATGCAATAAATATATTTAGCAACAAAGACTACTCAATAATTATATAGTTTTTATAGATGTGGACATATAAACAATGACTGTCAAGCAGGAAAAAAAACCCCACTATTTGTATTGCAACCTGTAGATTTGAATAGTCACTGTGTTTGGAGCTGCATACAATATTTTAAGAGAGATGAGCACCTCCTGCCTACACGGTAAGGAGGTCACAATATAGATAGATGACAATGGAGAGGCAAATAGAGAAAAGTCCCAGTGCCCTAACGCTTCTTATTTCTTCATATTCTGAACTATAGTCATGTTATATATGCATTTATCTGCAGGCAGAAAACAAATTTGACTTCTGGTGATTATTATTATTATTGTGGGGGGTTCCCTCCATGAATTCTCTGTGTTGCCTTTTAATTGCCATTTTGTGTGGATTACGAATATTTTAGCAGGCTGGGATTAGGCAATTTCTTTCTTTGAAACTGTATACAACAGTAAGTACAGAGAACATCTGTGGTGTTTCTGGACCTGAGGGTTTGTATTTTTGTCTTTGCAGCCTGTGAGATTTTCTTTTTCTTTTTAGTAATACAGCTATAATTTGTAATCCAGTACATTATTACAAATTATATTTGTTGCATTCAGTATCTCTTTCTTTTCCTACAATTCCTGGTATACAAAAATGTCTATCTTACCTGTATCTTACATAAAATGGAATCATTTAAATAATAAATTTCATTAACTCTTGACATAGAAAAATTGGAAAATTGTTCAAAATTAAGTTTTTCAAAACTTTTGTGGCTATCATCTTCTTTGGTACTTAAAAATACAGATAATAAATTTCCGTATATCTGTAATGAAAAAAAATGAACATGCCAAGAGAAAAAATGACAAATTAGTGCTCCGATTATTTGGATTACTTGGCCCTGTCCAGAAAATTCTACAAATGGAAATTTGGTGAAGACTGTGGATTTATACTCCTATGCTACAGATAACTTTTGCTGTTCTCTATAACTTGACAAAAACTAATAGAAGATGAATGATGTGTTTGCTTTGGGTTTATGAACAGTCAGTACTGATGTACCCAACTGGCCCATATTTAAGGATCATGTACATCACTCGAATTTCAAAGACAGCTCAATATGAACTGCCAGACAGAACATTCAGCACTGCTGTGATGAAGGGCATTTAGAAAAGTCTAATCTGAAGCACATTGTTTTACATACTTTGTGGCTTCTTGTTTCAGGATGTCCCCTTCCTGATCCATGCTGGCATGTCTTGTTGTCCATTTTGATCTGCTTCATCTGAAAAACATCCCAAAGAACAACCCACATCCTGAAACAATAGCAGTGGAAAATCCCAACTCCCAATACCCCCAAGCAAACATAGAAAGAAAGAGAGTTCCCTTACTTCCAAGCTGTAACAAAATAAAACCTTTTTTATCTAGATGGATCAAACAAATTACTTAAGTTAGGTAACTGTGATTGCAACTTGAAAGAGTAACACAAGTGATAGTACACCAGTAAGTGTACACTCTCTACCAGTTTTAGGAGGTTGCAATTTACCCTGTGTCTGAAAGGAAATTTATTTCCCACCTCCCCCAGTAACCCTGTAGAGCCCAGACAGCTAATGCCTGGATATTTTTCCCCTTATGATATTATAATTGATACATATCACTGAATTATATATTTTATCCCAGAGGAGGGCATTAGTTTACAATGAGAACATTCAGCAGTTTCAGGAATGCTGCTGCAGAAGATTGTGCAGTTTGACTCTCCAATCTCAGAACAAATTTGGAGAGCTGGATTCTGGGATTTTTTAACACACGATTGTTTAAATTAAGCATATTTCATAAATAATCCTCAAGAAACAAAAAGCATGGGCTTTTCTGTTAGTTTAAAAAAAACCCACTTCTCAATTAATAACTGAGTTTCAGGTATTGGCTTTGCAAGTCTCAAAAGTTTTCGGGATCATTAGAGTTGTGATTTTAGCTAGGATTTTTTGTTTTGGTTGGTTGTTTTGGGTTTTTGTTTCTTTTGGTTTTGGTTTTTGTTTATTTAGTTTTATTTTTTCCCCCTTTCCCCTCCTCTTTCCTCTGTGGTGGATAAGTCAGGTTTTGTCCTGGATAAGTCGGTTAGTTTGCCCTGGATAGCCATCAGTACTGGTGAAATAGCAGATTTCCCGCAGCACTGCATTTGAAACCCTTCCTTCCTCTGGTTTCTTTTTAGCTACAACATTACAGAAACAGAAATAAAAATAGTTTCCAAAATGGAAGGTTAAGTGCACCTGATTGAAATACAGAATTTAAACAAAGCACCAATACTTACATTTTTTAACACAGGGCAATCAAAGCACAGAAACACAAACAGAATGGTAGGAACAGCTACAAAGATGGATAACAGGCACACTGCATTCTGAAAAGTAGAGTGATATTTGCTTGTCTACCAAGACATGTTGGTCCACCAGAAAAAAACAGATGGACAGGTAAGAAAAAAAATCCTTTCTCTCTGTTAGACTGAGTAGTTAATCTTCCCTATTTCAAATGGATTTCACTAGCATTTTTACAACTAACAGATTCCTATTTGGAGGTAATAGAAATGTGCATGAACTTTAAGCAAAGCAATCATTAGTTACACG